CTCTTTCCATGCCTTTCCTTGCTCTCTTCTTGCCTTTGCCGGTTAGTACATTTTTCCTGTTTGGTCTCCTATAGTTGATTGTTCTGAGGAGCACATTCATGGATGTTATTGTTTATTTTACAGACTAACTGATTATTTGTCTGGAAAGTGACCTCTGGGAGTATTTCAGGATAATAAAACCAAACCTAAGCCACTGCCATTGAGCCGATTCTGATTCATAACAACCCAGAAGGGCAGAGTCCAGCTGTTCCTTTGTGTTTCTGAGATTGTAACTCTCTACAAGCACAGAAAGCCTCAACTTTCTCCTGAGGGGCAGCTGTTGGTTTCAAACCGCCAACTTTGCACTTAGCAGTCTAACACATATTTCACTGGGCATCATAGCTCCTATCACCAGCTAATATTCTCTCTAAACTTATTGTTATTAAAAAAAGCACATTCCCTTAGGGTAACAGCACTCTTCTGACCTCTTCTACAAGTTCCTTGTGTCCATTTATCCATTTTTTCCTGTCTGTCATACTCTGGAGAGTGTGTCTCTGTCTGAGTTCTGGATAAGGACTTAGAGGATATTTCTTATTATTTGGTCACATTCACTGCCAGATTCTGTGGGTTTTATCTGGTTTTCTCAGACTTAGCCCTTTGCCTTCAGGACCTTGAGCATGGCTTCCCTGATGGGTTTGGATTTGACACTATAGATGATGGGGTTGAGCACAGGAGGTATAACCAGGTAGACATAGGCAACAAGAGCATGTACCAGGTGGGGTAAATGCTTCCCAAAACGGTGGATCATGGACACCCCTATGACTGGGATGTAGAAAACCAGGACAGCTAAAATGTGAGACACACAAGTGTTGAGGGCTCGGACCCGCTCTTTGGGAGAGGCTAGCCCCATGACTGTGTGAAGAATAAGGGTGTAGGACATGACGATGAGTAAAGAGTCCACGCCCACTGTGGACAGAACTACATAGAGTCCATAAAGGATGTTGACAGTAATGTCTGCACAGGCTCTTTTCATGACATCCGCATGGAAACAGAAAGAGTGGGACAGGAGGATCTTGCCAGGGCAGAAATTCAGGCGCTTAAGTAAGAATGGCACTGGGAAGAGGGACACAGTGGCCCGAGCCACAATGGCCATCCCAATCCTGATGATGACATTATTTGTGAGCACAGCTGCGTAGCGCAAGGGGTTTGAGATGGCCACAAAACGGTCAAAGGACATGGCCAGGAGCACAGAGGACTCCACCACAGAGAAGGAGTGAAGGAAGAACATCTGGACCAGGCAAGCATTGAAGCCAATGAGCCGCTGGTCAAACCAGAGCACAGCCAGGGTGGTGGGCAGTGTAGACAAGGTGAGGCCCACATCAGTGAGGGCCAGCATGGACAGGAAGTAGTACATGGGCTGGTGCAGGCTGGGCGTCCTCCTCACAGCCAGGAGGATCAGGCAGTTTCCTGTGAGGGCCACAGTGTACATGGAGGAGAAGGGGATGGAGATCCAGCCGTGCAGAGCCTCCATCCCCGGGATTCCAATCATCAGGAAAGCAGAGGGCTGAAAGAAGGAGACGTTGCCATGGGTCTG